ATCATGGAACCATCAAGCCTTCGTCTTAGCGAACTGGTCTGACGTCAAATCGAAGTGATTGTTCATCAAAAGTGGTGCCCTGTATCCGATTTCGGTTTCGTATTTGTTTCGGTTTTGGGTCTGGTCTACCCGGTAAATGATTCATTCTCGTATCCTGTAATGCGTTTCGCTGTTCAGGAGGGCCGTACACGGATTAACGGATCTGAAAACGGAGGACTTCGCAAAATGGTAGGCATCGGAGGCTCACTGAAGATCCGGCGAACTGGACAAGGGTCTGGAGATTGATACCGACCGCCAAGTTATCGTGGACGGAGATAATTTGAGGTTTGCACGATTATAAATAGTACTAGTAATATTCGACTGATGGTCCATGATTCAAGTTCATCATATTCTCGTTTCATTCCTAGTTAACATTGCAAAAATAATGCTAACAAGTTGAGTGTGTCATTTTTCCGTAAGGCAAGTTGCAAAAACTTTCCGATAGATGTAATAATTGACTTAATAAACCGAAATTGAGATTTAAATAGTTGGATAAACTTTTTAACTGTTCATTCGTAATCAAAATTTCACGAAAAACTGAAACTTAACTATGCGATTTTCATTTAATATCTCCCAAACATTTTATACAATATGTAATTATATTAATTATGGCTTACAATACCGGGATTCCGTAATTCCAAATACCGGGATCCCGGGTATTGATACTACAATACCGGTATTTCGGAATTACCAAAATTTTGTTCAAAAGTTAACTTAATACACAATATACATGCACAGTTTCCAAATTGCGCATGTGTATTGCCGACTAGGCTCAGCCCAGTATGACTCATCTTGTCGATAATGAATGGAACCCATTTATAAAAATTATTAGTTGTCCACGTGCATTGTCCTCATATCTAGTTCGATATCAATTATTTTTAAACAATACACGCAATCGACATGTTATAATTCTCAATATTGTATATCTTTCTATCAATTATTCGTATTTATTCATTATTTCATTATAACGAAAATTTACAAGTCAAATCGTCGAGTGTTAAATATTTTGATAATTAATGATAATATTGGTTTCGGTGGTGGATGACCTCTTTCTTATGCGAACATTGCAGATTTTTAGAAATTGTTCATATAGAATTATTTTATTTATTTGTTGGACAATCAGTAAATACAATAATTACCTATAACTCTTTGTAAAGTGTTGATATCTAATTATGGTATGTTTATAAACTAAATGCACTATATTAAGCACTAATTTATATCGACTAATTGTGTACTCGTATTCCTTTATGACAATTGTGCCGACAAGTGTAAAATAAGACTAGCTGTAAGTGGAACTCTGTCTTAAGGCAATTAGGGCATCGTGCCTTAAGGCAAATTGCTGGAACTTCCCGTACCAAAAATTATTATTTTTTTTTAAAACGATTAACATTTTTGAAAAAAAATTAGTTTTAAAAAATAAGATTTTTGAGAAACTATAAATTGGACAAAAAATTAGTTTTTTTTGAAAAAAAAAAAATTTTTTTTAAAAATTTTTTTTAAAAAAATTTTTTTTTTTGAAAAAAAATTTTTTTTCTTATTTTGACATATTGTGGAAGATCTGAACTTTTTTTTCAAAACAATCGTACTGCTTTAACTACCTAGGGACAAAATATAAAGCGCGTAAGCGCCGCGTCGCTGTCTAACGCATAAGCATTGTACGGAACCGATAGGAATGTTAACAAAATGTATACTTATTGTTAAAATCTCTATAAAATGTCTGATAATTTGATGTGCATATGTCTAATGATCATTTTTGACCCCCAAATGGCTCATTTTTTTACTTTTTCCTCTATATCTCCGAAACCGCTGGACCTACCTTCATGAAAGTTGTATCGATTCTTCACCTTGTCAATACAAATAAAATGTTTTTTGAATTATTAAAATCGGACGCTCCGTTCTCTTAAAAACTGAGTTACCGTTTTCGGAACTTTTTGCCCCGTATCTTCGGAACGGCTTGACCTGCCTTTGCCAAAAACTAATCAGCACGTCTCCTTATCAATACGGATCGAATGTTTTTTGAATTATTCAAATCGGTTGATCCGTGTTCCCGAAATCGTCGACGAAAATTTGTATCCGCACACACATACACACACATACATACATACACACACACATACACACACACACACACACACACATACATCCATTTTTTCTAAGGTATGCCAAAATGTTCAGAAACCTCTGAAACGTAAAGATATATAAAAATTTTCATTTTCGATTTTTTTGCGATTACTATAACTTGCCCTACGGGAAGTTAAAAATGCTTTTTCGACTTGTTATATTTGTACTAAAATTCGGTTCTCGCTTAAAGATGAAACAATTAATTTAGGGGCGTAACTACCGCCGTATCAGCCGTATCAAAAATATGGGGCCACCGAGCCAAGGGGGCCCCCAACGAGCGCAAGCAACAAGCAAAACTTGAAAAAAAAAATTAATAATTTTGACGTAGTTTGCATTTTCTTTTTTATCGAGAGGTATTGAACTTCAATTTGTAAGCTAACCCTTTAAGATAATTTATTTCTGCTGCAATATTTTTGTAAGCTCTAGCAATCAATTCAATTAGTAAAGCTATTCCACATTCGATAAGTTAACAAATCTATAAAACTAATTCTGATTATACATTCTTCATCAAAAATTGAAATTTGTAATTTTTATAGTTATTTTTATATCGTTTTTTGCTTGTTGTTGTTACTATTTGAATTGTCTGTATGACGCGTCAGTTTAATAGTTAGATTTTGATAAATATGATCAACTACCTATTTTTCAGATTTTTTTCTTCACTGTTTAAAAATATAAGTTATTGTTTAAAAACTAGTATTTTATTAAGAAATCTTTTGAATAGACTGTGCGAATTAAGATATGAAAAATTATTGAAATAGTTTGTTGAAGAAGTACAAATAATTTGCAAAAAAGATGGTTGCAATAACTGTTTTAAAGAACAAAATACAAAAGATAATGAAGCGATATTATCACAAGATGAGAGAATTTTAGACCCAAAATCTTATTTTAATGTATACTATTGCTGTTTGGATATATTAATTTCACAAACTAAACATTTTTTAAACAGTAGTAACATTTGTTTTTTTGAAATCGAGAATTAATAAACGTTTCTGGAAAACTGTCGACTGAATTACTGTAAAGAAAAATTGTAAAATATCTCATATGATCATGACCAATTGATAGTTCTAGAAATTGGTTTGAATACAGAAATCTAAGAAATTTGTTTTATTAAGATACAATGATGGATGCAATAGGCTTGCATAGGTTTGGCCCGTCCAGTTACAATCGCAGCTGCTTTAAAATGATATTTTTAAAATTAAAACTAATTAAGAATAACTTAAAAACTTTAGGACAGAAACATCT